GGGTTGTGATGAACATATTCCAAGCATGTCCTACCTACGAATAATGAAAGAAGGAAATGACGGAAGAATACACTTTGATTGCTAATGTTGGTCCAAAGTTCTCTTCATTAAATATCATTGTAAGTAATGATGCAGAGCACATTGATTATGAATAACAAACCAATGTAGAGTGAACAAATAACCAAGGCAGGAGATTAGTTAGTGCACTACGATCCACCTGTAGAAAGCAATGAGTAGTGCACGACAATCTACCTGTACGAAGCAACGAACAACTCTATTCAGAAGCTGCTACGCCATGCCACCGGATCCGCAACTTCTATGCAAGCAGACAGAAGGCGTCTACAATTATTTCAAAGTACCCCTACACGTGCACTATAAATTGTATACACATAGGTAGACTAAAGGGGAAAGTACAAATTCAACCAGCATGGGCCCCGACGAGCGTGTTATTGGTACACACGTGATGTCTAGGGATGCTGCGCGGGTTGACAAGTGAATTCAAGTTCGAAACCGATCCTTCTAAACGGGTCAATAGAAGTCGACAGGGTTCGAACCATTAAGCAAATATAAAGTTGTGGCGACCGGTATATTTGATTTAAAACATTCATATTAGGCCTTTAAGGCCTACAACAATATGAATTCACTAATAAAGGCACGAAGCCTACGAAACCCGATCCTCAGTCAATAGCTCGGTTGAGTTGATAAAGTTTAAGCTACAAAGAGAAATGACCCCGAAAATCCCGATGATGGCCGTGTTGAATGCATATCTAAAACGGAGGGGTTACCAAATATTTTTAAATATCTCTCAAATATCGAGAGTCTGTTTCAAATATTCCAAATCTCCATCCAAAAATACCCATAAAAATAAAAAAATCCAAAACTCCACAAAAATCCCAAAATCCCAAAAATATTTAAAAATGAAACTATCCATCTCAACGCTTAAAGCAAAATCCATCCACCCTCTGCAACAGTTTGCCGAGGTGGACAAATTGAAAACTACTAAAGCTCACATAGAGCCAAATGCCTAGTCGAAAATATTACTAGGATCCATTCTCAAACAATCTCTTGCCAGTAAGGACATGGTACGTGTCCTCTAACCGACAGTTTTGCCGTCAAATGCAGGAACATGTCCCAAGGATCTCTTCTGGGAATTTCACTAAGTCCCTCCTAATCCAGTAGTATTGAAACAAGCAGGAACCGTCCTCTTTGTTCAGTGCATGGGGCCAATTGGGTTCCTTAGAGATTTTGGTCTGCTTGGATGTGTTGGATTTTATTTTAAATTGCTATATTTATCCTTTCTATCTCTTAGGAAAGTTTGTATTTGTTTCCTTATAGTTAGGAGTTGAATAGATATTTGTATAGAATTTGTTTTAGATTCTAGTTTTTTGCATCTACTTATATCCAATAATGAATCAATAGAAAGCATAGTTTTCCATGCGTATATATAAATTCTCTCTCCTCTCCTTGCTATGAACGCTGCTCATTTCCTCTCCATTCTTTATTTCCTTCTGTTGGAAACAACAAATAACAATTGTTTTCAGCCCTTATAGGATAAAAAAAATTGCTTCACAAAATAAAAGAAGAGTTTCAGGAATCGGCAAGAAATTTTTTTTTGGGTTCGAAAGTAGTAAGGTGGACATATGTTGGAAAACTATTTTTGGAATTAAATATCAGACCAGTTTAGTTCTCGACAAAAATATGGAAGACTCTTTACCAACTTCGCTTTTTTTGCTTTTCCTAGACCACTTCTATTTTTGGGAGAACCTTTTAGTATGGTAAAATATTTTTTTTATTTCATAGGTGATCTGCCCGTTCCCCTCTCCATTCTTTATTTCTTGCTGTTGGAAACAACAAATAGCAATTGTTTCCTGCACTTTTGGGATAAAAAAATTGCTTCACAATATAAAAGAAGAGTTACAGGAATCGGCAAGAAATTATATTTTGGTTCGAAAGTAGTAAGGTGGACACATATTGGAAAACTTTTTTTTGATTCAACTATCAGACCAATTTAGTTCTGGACAAAAAAAATTGAAGCCTCTTTACCAACTTGTTTTTTTTTTGCTTTTCCTAGCTCTTCTTTTTTTGGAGAACCTTTGAGTATGGTATAATATTTTTGGTATTTGAGAGTTGATCTAATCCATTGGAAGATTGATCCGGTAAATGAAGAAGACATTGCGGCAAACAGATCTGTGTAACTAGCCTTCTTTATTTTTTATCTGTTAATGTCTTCTTTTAGTTGAAGATTGTAAAAGATGGAGGGTTTGTGTTGACAGTTATGACTTGGAGATGCCATTTGAGGATGGTAATGATGGTTGAACATGGTCACCTTCAGTGTCACAAGTTTCATTCAAAGTTGGTGTGGATAATGGTGATGCTAACTTTCAATTGAGTTTTTGATGCTGACAAATTTGAATATTGGATCGAGCATTTAGAAATTTATTTCTTTATTTAATAAATTAGAACAATAAGACAAAAATGCTTTCTCTCGATTGAAGCTCAAATTATCTTAATGAATTGTTAGAGTTTGGAGGCTCAGAATCACAATTTGATGTGGATATCTTGTTATTGGTTAAAAGGGTTGTTGAAGACACAATTTTATCTCATTAGTCACAAGCAACATATGTGGACTTGATGGCAATGATTGCTATAAACTTGAATAGTTTGAGGTTGATTACATGACAATAAAAATATGTAATTTCCCTAGGTGCCTCTCTACTTGATAACTCCGTCTTCCTGAATGTACATCTTAGGTTGTATGAGGTGATTTAAAAGGAGTTGGAGCTTTTTCTACTGAACACCATTACAAAGGCAATTGCCAAAGCCATTGACACGAAGAGATGAGTTAAATCTTAGGGAACTGAGAAATCTTATATGAAAAATAAAAGATAATCAGTATCGTAGAGAAGTAGCCAAAGGAGATGGTGATATGGGGAAGAAAAAAAGAGAAGGGAAAGTCTTTTTTTGCTTGCATTGTAACGTGTGTGGCCATAGCAATTCAAAGTTTTGGAAATTGCACCCAGAAATTTGACCCAAAGCCAAAATAGGTGTTGATTGTGGTGGTTGAGGTGTAAGAGATTAGATAGTGCAACGTACGAACCTTTAATCATTCTGATTATTAGGTATGCCCGAATCTCATCTAGGCGAGTTTTTTCCTTGCTTGATGCTTGACAACAATCAGAATAGTTAATTTTACACGCTACACGGTGTTTTCAGCACTTACATTAGCATTCCCAGCAGTCACTCCTACTGGAACAACATAATGTGTGACTGGTTCGTGCATTCAAATAGAAAACTCATCAGGTAAGAAGTTTTAAATAGTTGTAATTATAATCTCATTCCTATCAGGTACTAGGGAGAGCTCCCGAAAGAGGTCAAGGAAGAGCTTTTCTAGTTTAATATCCAATTCAATCTTGCAGTTGACTCTACAATCAGTGATTCTGATGAGCTAAAAGATCTAGATTACAGAGGTGTTGGTGAACCGACTACAACTAGGAATGCCTAAAGTTATAATCATTGTGGTGTATCAAAAAAGAAAGTTGAATACAAGGTGGACAGACAATGCATCTTTAGGTTTACCATTACGGAATACTTTATTGATGAAAATAAATGTGAGATTGTTCCTCTTGAGTCTTGACATGCAGCATGTGATTAAGTATAGGAGTCGGATATTTTTTCTATCCTTAACAATAGAAATATCAATAAATGAAGGATAAGCAAATGTTTTGATATGGCGGTTCAACAGGAACTGCCTCTTAAGGCGGTTCAGAAGGAACCGCCTTAGCCGGCCCCACCTGGGCCGGCAATTTTCTATAGGAGGCGGTTCAAAACCGCCTCCCTTAACACCTAAAAAGGCTTGCCGCCTATATGTGGGGCCCAATGGGTTTAAATTTATTTGAAAATTGTTTTTCTTAGAAAGGGGCTTGGGCGGTGGAGAGCCTTTAAATAGGAGAGGTAAGGGGAAGGGATAGGCAATGTTTAGATTGGAGTTTCTCTTTGAGTCTCTTGGAGTTTGAGCGTCTAGAGATTGGGAGAAAACGATCATCCTCTCGAATAGAGGATCACTTGTATCTTGCTTTCTTGTTGGTTTGCTTGCTTCATTTATTGCAATTTATTATTTTTGGGGCTGGTTACGCCCAGATTTTTGCTCTATTCTCGCTCTTTTTCTCCAATTAACGATAGGATTGCTTGCGAACTCAAGTATTCCCTTAGGGTT